ATAAGGTTTTACTTTTGATAAAATTGAACTCATCTGATTTTTCTTTGGTGGCTTGTACTTTTGGTGTCATATGTAATGAGCTAACCCAAGGTTGCAAAGACTTACAAAGACTTACGAGGGGTACCCCCACAAAAACAAAACAAGACAAAAACAGAATAAAGCTCCGCTGGGCGGTTTCGTGGTCCGCATTTTTCCTGTTAGGTGAGCATCGAGCAACTCGCTCTGAGTTGGTGCACCCAGTGGTGTCGGTGCACCCAGTGGCATCGCCTGAGAAGATTCTCTCTGGTCACAGTGAATTTTTCGTAAAAGCAGTTTCGCTCAAACCTCACTTTTAGTGATGGCTGATTTAAAAGAATAGTGTGCAGCTGTGAAATTTTGTTTCGTGCTCGGGAAAAATGCTGCAAAAACTGTTGAAATGTTGCACACAGAATATATGGACAGCACTATGGGAAAAACTCAAGTGTACGAGTGGTTTTCTCATTTCAAAAATGGTGAAATGCCGATTGATGACAAATCTCATTCTGGACATCTGTCAACTGTCTGAACCGATGAAAATGTGGACTTGTAGTGCATTTGGAGTTCATTCCACCAGGTCAGACTGTTATTCAAGCTTTCTATTTAGAGGTCCTGAGAAGATAGCACAAGAGTGTGTGACAAAAAAGATCCGATTTGTGGCAGACAGGGGACTGGTTTTGCCACCATGACAATGCACCTGCTCACGCAGCCATCTCAGTGTGCCAGATTTTGGAAAAAACCTGCATGCCTCTCTTGCCCCACGCACCTTACTCACGTGGCCTCACTCTGTGCACTTCTTTCTGTTTCTGTGAAAGAAGAGGGACATGAAAGGACAGCGATTTGACGACATGGAAAAAATGAAGAGGAAAACAAGGGAGGTGCTGTCAGCCATCCAAACAGATGAGTTTGAAAAATGCTTCCAAGAATGGAATTGCAGATTTGACAAAGGTAATAAATAATGGCGAGTACTTTGAAGGTGATAAGGTTGTTTTGTAAAAAAGTTTAAATACATAACTTTGAAAAAAAAATCCATTGGTGGGGTATCCCTTCGTAATCCTCTCTTAAACATTTTATAGTTTTAGCTCTTACATTTGGGTCTACGGTCCATTGCAAGTTCGTTTTGCAGGTAGTGTAAAGTAGGGGCCCGATTTAGTCATTCTGCACGTGGCTGCTCAGTTGTCCCAGCACCATTCAGACTGTTGTGCTCTATTGAATTGTCTTGGTGCCCTGTTGAAAAGCCATAACCCTTCCTCCCCCCACTACCAGGACCCCAATTCTGCCTTGCAGATCTGGCTAGACCAGATGATGCACAGCGGTACAGATGGGAATTGAAAACGCAGGGAATCTAGGACAGATGAACCTCTCAGGACCAGGGGTGACAGTGGCGAT